CGACGCGGGGCCGCAACCGCTGCCGGGCGCCCCACCCGGGAGGCGCGAGTTGCGGCCTCCGAGGGCCACATCTCCGGTCACCTCGCACGCCGCCGGGTCGCCCGGCCCGCTCGGACCTCCGGGCCGGCCTCCGTTGGGCCTCGGCAGCGGTGGCGCGCACTCACGGCCTCGGCCTGGCGCCCCTCGCGGGTGCTGGACGCGCTCCTCGGGCCGCTCCGGGCCGCGTCCCGGCGCTGGAAGCCGTGTGACCTTGGCCAAAACGTTTTAAGTTTTCCTGGCCTCGTTTTCTTCGGCTGTGAAATGGGGTGCGACCCGCAGCCTCTGGAGCTTGGAATCCGTTAAGATACCCCTTGCAAGGCTCCCGTCCCCCGCCGTGAATTGAATGACTCACGCGCTCCCCTCATCATCATCTTGGGGGATTGTTAGACAGGGGTGGATAAGTGTTTTAGAGTCACTTCATATTTGTCGGGCCCCTACTATTTCAATCTTGTTGAAATTCTTGTTCATTTATCTGCCCACTTATATTGTTGGTGTCCCGTCCACAGACATAAACACCTCCTGGAATCTAAGTCCTTTTGTAAGCAGGGAACCTGTGCGCCGCCGCCCTAGTTTCTGTGCCTAGACCAGTGCCAGACCTGTAGTAGGAACTAAAAAATTGCTCGTCCTAGGAATATGGATCCACCATCTACACAGTCCTCTGAGCCAAAAAGCTGGAACTTTAGTCGGATGTCTCTATCTTTCAGCCATCAGCAGTCAACAAGTGTTAGCATTTGGTATCTTAGAAATGTCTCAAAAACTTATTTTTCCTTTCTTTCTTATGCCAGTAACAGCTAATCTCCATCTGACTACATATTGCAACAGCCTAACAGGATCCCTGCCACCAATCTTCCCTCCCTATTTATCCTCCCCAACAGGTGCCAGATTGATCTTTCTAAAAAGAAACCTGATTATATCACGCTCTTGTTTAGAACACTCCTTAAATATTGTTTAAATAAATCATGGAATCAGAGCTAAAATCTTCAACTCCCAGGCACTGTTCCGAGCACTTTACACGTGTTGGCTCTTAATCTTCACCAAAACCCTATGAAAAGGCACTCTTGGTGTGTTCATCTTACAAGTATGATAACTGACGCACAGAGAAGTTAAGTGGCTTGCTGAAAGAGCAGTTCCAAGCAGTTTTGTTCCAGAATCTTACTACTAATGGACTTCTATCTGTACAACCATTTCTAAAACTGAAATAGGCCTGTTTGTACTGGCATGCAATGATATTTAGAGATACTTTTAAATAGAAAAAGTTGACAGAATATAATCCCATTTTAAATGGTACTATATTAGTCTACCCATAGCAAACGATCTGAAAGATAGTAATTCAAACCATTGACACCAGGTTCAGTTTCTTCTTTGTACATGCCTGTAAATATTTGGATGGTTTTTACAATGGCCATGTGCTATTCCCATGTCATTGGGAAAAGTTTCTTGCTAAAGGAGAGCCCTGTCAACATGCAGCTGCACAGACCCCAGATTATCAGACCCCAGATACCAGCTTTACCTTCTACCAATCTCTATGCCCTGGCTTCATTCCTATATTTCCCAAATATACCCCCCCCTTTTTTTTTATACTTGTACCTTTGTCTAGAATGCAAATAAGTGGACGATTAGATACTCTCCTTCCAGGGCTAATTGAACTATCACCTCTTCAGTGAAACCTTGCATGACACCCTGGGAAAGCTGAGCACCCCTTCTTCAGGATTCCAAAAGCATTAGGCATGTTATGTCATAGTTACCATCTTTCATCTCCTCTTCTGTAATACATTCTGACCTTTTTTGATGGCAAAGACTATCATTTTTTCATCTTTGTATCTGTCCCAGCTGCTGGAATAGTCATTGTCACATCATATACATTCAAACTATTTGCTGAATGAACAAATGAAGACCTTAATAAGTGAAAAGCCAAATAGCATAGAGGATTTACACAATATTTTCTAGCCAGTCTAAAAGACATCACAAGGCAGTACATGATTAATTGCTGAATGAATCCTACACCAGTGATTGCTATAGAAATCGGAGGGGGCGTCTTATACATCTTTGTATATCCCCTAGAGCACCTAGCGCAGTGACTTACTCATAGTGAAAGCTCAGTAAATGCTCTGTGAATGAATAATCACTGCTTTTGAATCAAGTGATGATGTGCAATTGAAGAACAAGCAGTGTAAGTGTTGAATTAAGATGGATGAGTAGTTCCTTGCTTAAACATCCATCACCAGCCTCCACAGATTTGAGGCAGTGAGCATTTGCTAGGTGTTGTGGGGAGCACTGGGATGGCAATTACTGAGGGGTGGGGAGGACACAAGAAAAAGTAAAAGCAATCATTTAGGGAGTGTAGACTTAAAACCAGGAAATTACACACACAACAGAGAATAGGCATGACAGTGTAAAAAACAGAACTGCACAAAATGTGACCAACTGTGCAAATGTTCAAGAGGCAGTAAGAGCAATGGGCAAATAGAAAAGAGGAAACCCTATTTTGGTGGAGAATTTGGAAAACTTTAATGGAGGGAAGAGCATGTAGGGTCATTAACTCAACAACTATTTATCAAGCATCTACTATGTGCCAGGAATTCCAGGAGGCACTAGGATATGATGATAAATGGCTTTAGGTGATAGAAGTCTGATGATAGGTATAGAAAGAAGGAATAAGAGTTAAATAATAAGCTGGGGGGGGGGGGGGGTAGGGAAGGACTGTAGCTTCAAATATCTTTGGAAACTGATGACCTCAAAGCTAAAAAATAGAACTCAGGGGCATCGCCCAAATCAGGGCTGTTCTGGTAGACTGGAGAGTGAAAAACACTGATGTATCTTATTGCACCAGTTTCTTCATCCTGATTAGTGACCTCATTCCCTGACACCAAAAGGCATGGGAGAAAACATGCTAGTGAAAGGAAATACCTACCCCCCGCTCCATGGCTATACAGTCTTTTTTGTGGTAGTCCTAATAAGACTCAGTTGGTGAAAGGGCTTATGACTAGTAAATGACCCAGAAACCCACAATTTCCATCTTTATTCTCATTCTTGATAAACATGATCTTCAAAAATCGTGCTCTATAAATAACAACATATCTTCTGACTTCCAACCTCAGCTACTGTTGGAGAAGGTAACTGAGAGGATCTGACTGCTAATTGGCCCTCGAGCCAGCCTGAACCCTGGCTATTTGAGGATCCTCACCCCCTTCCCTGTTTTTGGAATATGTACTCCGCCCACCATTCCCAAAGTGGGAGCCATTCCAAGGACATAGCCTTGAATGAGTAAGGTGTTGTTGAGATCATCTGGACAGTATATGTGACTGTACCCAGTTAAGGCCTCTCTATATGAACTTTTAAGATTCTGGCAGGCAGGTGAGGAAGATCTACTTGCCTTATGACCGCCCAGGACAAGCCTTGTATGTAAATTTCCTTGCTTATTAAAACTGCTACCCTATCAACCTGGAGTGGTCTGCCTCTTTCTTCACTCTCCCTGCCTTCTGTGTACAGTGGCTGGTTTCAGATCACCTTTTCTTTGAAATTGTATTCCTTCTTTCTACTTTGTTGTGTTGTCTTTCTAGTATTGACTTCTGGGGTGGGCCAGTCCTTCCATTGCTATTTATCACTTTGCACCTCTATCTTTTCTGTTTTTGCTTGAAACGTTTTAGTCACCGGAAAACTTTATAATTGCTCGAAGTTCTTTTTTCAGGAAGCAATCACTTAAAACATTTGGTTCTCAGACTCAAATGAGTTGGTATTAATGCTTCCTCAGCCAACCAGCTGCAAAACCATACACTATTCTTTGACAGAGGAGCACAGAAAACCATCTTATTTTCTGGTGCGTATGGGATAGGGATCTAAAAATCCCAACTACTGAGGTGATATAGGATAGGCTAAAACCTCTCTTTTTTAGCAACAAAGCCAGAAAAATGGAGATGAAGAGTAGGTACTTAGCTTGACTTGTAAAACTACTCATTGAAGTAATTTACATCCTATCACTTTGCCTAATTATGGCGAAGCATTAGGGATTATTCACATCATTAAATACGTCAAGTTAAATGATTTGATTGCAACACCAACCTCTTGTTCATAATCTTTCATTCTTCATGCTTTGTTGCTTATATTGTTGGGTTACCTGCTCTCAGGTTTTAATACAAGATGAAGGAAGAATACTACCCTAGGAACTGGATGACAGCATACTTTGCACAGTTAGAAGGAGAAGCAATGGCAGTGAATATGACAAATAGCTTCCCTTACTATTGAACCAGCTCATAAAATCTTGGGGAAGGATGGTGGTAGCTGAGTTGTCTCCCAAAGCATCACACAGAGAGCTTTTTAACAGTTTCTTTGGATACCTAGTTACAATCTAGTTTCTGATCCTCACTGTATTGGAACCCATGATTTTGTTACATAACATATTCCTAAAAATGTGTGTAAATGTTGAGTATGGAAGTTGAATAAATTCACGTCATAATGGGTAGTACTGTTTCTAGAGAATGCAGAATTTCACATCAACATTAGAGACATTCTTTGATAACATGGAGCAGTTCAGATGTGCAATGAACTCTGGACCATTTCCACCCATGTCTCAAGTGTGTCATATTTATCAGACCCAAGTTTCTAATCAGCACTTTCAATTTTATGTTTTCCATTTACTTTCACAGAAGAATAAAATGTAATAAAATATTCCAATATTGCACAAACAGTGATGTGCACACAAAGATGCTAACACCATTAGCTGGCAGTAAGTTTTGCCATGTTATTGATCTAAATGCTTATTAGAGAATTATAAAAATCTAAATTTGGCAATCCAAGAGGGAGCTTAGAGATATTGAATATAAAAAAGTGTAGCTTTTATCAAAGCCAAGTGTGCTTAAGAGACCACCTATAAATAAGAGAAAAGACAACAATACCAGAATTATAATTTCTTGTTCTCCTTTTATCCCACATTACCCTCTTTCTCCCAAATGAGTGACAAGGAGAGTAAAGGGACCACTGCAGAATGGCTACTATGTGCCAGACATTGTGATAAGTGATTTGCACAAAGACTGTCTTAATGGCCACGGCCAATAGTGTATTTTATGTCAGAAAAAAGACCCACGACCCAGAAGCTATTAACTCCAACAAGAGTCCTCGTTTGCTGGACTGATGAATGAAATTGAAAAAGAACCTCGAATCATTAGAAAAGGACACAATAAAACTGTAATTAAATAGATCATTAATAGTGTGGCTTATATATGTCTGTGTGGGACAAAGAATATATTTCATGAAAAATCACCAGATTTCTGATATTTTTTAAAGAAATGTGTCTGATACTAATTTTACTGTGTAAGTATCAAATTAAGGATCTGTGCTTTGAAGGTAGATTTCTGTGCCAGTGACTCAAAATTAA